GGCGCTGTTGCAGAGCCCGAGCCATCGCGTCGCCGCCGCTGGTGCTGCAGCCGCTAGCGCCCTCGAGATGCTGTGTCTGTGCCGCGCGCGCCCGCGCCCCCGCGACGGGCGATGCGACGACCGCGCCGCGCGCATGGGTGAGTACGCACGCTCTCCCGTTCCCTCCTTTGCCCTCGCTTTCCACGCTCCTCGTTTGTTCCTTTTATCTCTTTGTATTACGAGCACTTCTTGTTTGGGTTTTGCATCTTTACAATGGGGGTAGAAAACTTTAATAAGACCCCTCCTGCTGTACGCTTGTCTAGTATGGTTAAATGCGTCCAAAACAAACATTAAAATAATACAAATCATCCAAAATCAATACCTAAGGACAATAACAAATACAAATATTTTTCTAGCAATCAACTACATAAATAATTCAATCGGAAGCAATAACATCACATATCTCTCTTCTACCTTTTATATAAATCTGATGCAAATACCATTCATATCCGAATTCACGCTGTGCAGAAACCAAACCAACAACAAGAATCAAAAACAAGTATCCATTCTAGGTGTTTCTTAAATTGTTCTCTGAAATGGAATAAATAGATGTGCCTCACAGGTTTCCTCAAACAATGTATTAGCTGTAAGAATCTAGTTATACGTTATTTTCTAAGCCACCAAATGCATGTGACAAAGTTATTGTAATAACTGAACCATTTAACCCTCTTGAAATTTTATAAATATATTGAATAAAAAAACAATGGCGGTACCAGAATGTTCTAGGGGTGGTGTCTATTAGTATAGTGTTAAGTCAACTTAATTTTTTCTTGTAAAGACTTTTTAATTTATGATGAACTTAAAATATATTCTTATTAGTTGGTTTGTAATTCTTTATAACACAATCAATTGAAATATTGAAAGACTTACTTTACCATTAAATTTAGTAAAATTATATTTGTGAATAAATCGTCGGCTTCTGAGAAGGCAGAAGCATGATGAGCCTTCCTCCTGTCTCCATGGGTACGTCACAGCTTCTTCGGTATCATTACTATTTCCATCTGATTTTCGGGATTCTTCTGCTTTTTTACTTGTTCATTTTTTATAATCGTAAAAACGATTATGTAAATTATTTACGATAGTTGGTATAGGCGATTATTTATGATTATGTACATTAATTACATATCCCTGTTTAAATACTATTGTCGTTTTCTACTGAGTATTATTTGTTCTTTTCTGCTTTCATTGCGTTTTGATTTACGTGGTTTTTGTTTCTTGCCTTTTCTCTGGAGCCTCCTTTTTATAACAGGCACTATATGTTTTTGTTATATGAGTCTGTTTAGTATTCTTAGCGGGCTGCGTTTCTTTTGGTTCTCTGTCATTTTTTTTCCAGCAAATTTACCTTTTTTATGAGTATTTTCACTCTTTTTATGTGTCTCAATTTCAACACTGTTTAAAAAGGAATTAAAAAATACTTATATATTCGTAGTCCTTCTTTGAAGCATTCGGAACTTAGAAGTAAATGAAATTGAAATTTTTTACGTGTTATACATTAAGAGTAAGGAGAATGCAAATTGATGCTTAGAGCAGTGAATTCCGTGAAATGTGATTTGCCCTAATTTAGTATATAGAATTTCAGAAAATACTACTTAATATTAAAAAAAAGAAATACTTTCCAAAATATCTCTAAATAAAATCCTGAAAGTACATATTTCTGAGGTAATTCCTTTCACAGCGAAATTATCACATTAATGAGATTCGCATTAAGCAAGTCGCGAGTTCACCTGCTGAGTTCAATTGGTGAAGGACCGCGTCTTGGATGCTGAAACACAAACGTTCGTGATTATACGGTTGCTAAATGAGTTACGGCTGAACGGAACGCAAATAGTAATAATGTATAGTCTTCAGAGAACATGTGTAGTGAGAGTGAAATGGCTGAATAAAGGGATGGTAGAACAAGTACCATTAACTTCAAGTTCTTACTTATAGTATTGAAATTTCCAAACCTTGGTATTTGATTCCAATTTTCCCGATGTACAGAAATGTATTTTCGATAAATGTTTGTTATGTAGAAAGATGAAAGTTGACACATCACACGAACACTTTAAAATGCTGCTGCTGCTGATGTTGATACATCAGCTAACGAACAGCTTGCAATTGTCACCCTCCGATATATTCATCTGACCTGCTGCGATCAGAGTTGTTTGTGCGGCTTCCCACGTGTAGCAGAGATCGAAAAAAACGGCGTCACAATACAGCCTACGCGAATTCCGAGAATAATTAGCTATTTCGAGCCCCTGACTCAGCCTCTCGCGCTGCACACGCGTGCGCGAATTACAACTTCGTTCCACTTAAGTGTCTGTGGCAGCAACACACTTGTCGCCGGTGGTTTACTAGTGGGGAAAGCACCATCACTCATATTTTTATTGAAGCGGCAAACTGTTAATATTGCAGAGTGATAAATAATACAAGTTTAAGTCGCTAAAGTAATTATTTACAAAGTTTGTTATATTTGATTGACTGTTCGATTTTTTTGTTAATTTAATTTTCTCAATTATAAAACATATTGGTGTTAAGAACGAATAAAATTTGACGGTTACTGTTTATTTGTGTCATATATTATCAAAATCAGACATGTTCAAATAAACTATCCAGATTTGAAACTAGAAAAAAAAGAGGAATGACTGGTTTTGAAATTAAATAGGTACGTTGATGAATGATTTGTGTGAGATTAAACCTCGTTTAAAATATGATGATTGTAGAAAAAGTGTCAAACTTTAATTAGAACACCATCATACTTAAATCTCAACGTAGTTAACAATCATCCCTCAGTATTTGATTATAGTAAAATAATTGGATGTTTAATTATTTATTTACACGTAATGCCGAAAACACTCGTCATTTTAATAGCTTTGTATAGTGTGAAAGTAATGATGTTTATTTCAACTACTCTAAAACCTGCGACGTCTTATTAAAGTTCTATTTAATTAACTCGCAAATTTTTATTTGCACTTACTCGCACTTTAATTTTTTATACATTAGCTTCATGAAAATATTAGAAATTTGTTTAGAAGATTTCCAAAGATGAATAGTCGAATCGAAGCACATATAGAAGGTAGAGCTCAATTTCATATGATGTAAATATTAAATTATCCATTGTGCTTCTTTTAGACAGAAGTAAACAGAAGAAAGCTACGAACCATTCCGTTAATTTTGTCTCACTTTCTTCTCCTGAAGATGGAAAAAGATTGCAAACCCAACGTGAACTATCATATTGCCTGAATTTGGACGATTCTTGCACATTCGAAAAGGTGAAAATTTACTCACAATTTCATCGTGAATTTGGCACATTAAGTACGCTTTTTGGTGTTAAAAATTTGTATTTATTGGTCATGTACTTTCCTAAACTCATCCAACTTTTTCCGACTTTTTGTCGACATCAACATCTAGTACTTACGAGCTTAGGACTTCGAATAAACTTTTTGCCGCTTTGCCAGAAAAGACGCAGCGTTTCCTTCTTTCATGTACAGTTCCCTTCCATCCTGAGCTATTCAGTTCGCATCCTTTCATATTCCCTCAAGGCTTTCACCCATTCCCGAGTTGTCCTGTCATACAACCTTCTCGTTCCATCTTTTCCTATCACATTCCTTCGTACCTTGAAACAATACGAGTCACGTCTCTGGAGTGTCATTTCACGTCGACACACCACGTTATCGTCACATCACGTATTCTTTCCTCAATTGCCTATAAAATTTTAAATAACAAAGCGATGCGCGTTGGTACCCCATTCGCGTTCCGCTGTGTCTGGGACAAAGACCGCCAGCAGCGCGGGTCTTGGCCGGGGGCATGGCGGTGCGGGGGATGCCTGCGAGCGGGGACGGCGCGTGGCGTCGCGGGGGAGGGCGCGGAACGGGGCGGGAGGAGAGGCTAGCGGAGGGCATAGCAAGGCAGCTGAGAGCAAGAGCTCGTGGGCACCGCAGAGGGTGAGTGGGGGCGAGAGTGCAGCTGGGAGAGGAGATGGAGGAGTAGAGCGTGGCGGGCGGGTGAGGCGACGTATGGCGAAGCGTGGCGAC